GCCACTGTCGTGCTTGCATCGAGGCAGTCCGTCGTTAGCCAGCTTCGCCGCCATGACACCGCGGAGATCCAGCGACGCGAGTCACGCGTGTGACGATTCGTCGCTGCACAGGCTGCTCAGCGTGCTCACAGATGGCGCTGGTGTGCCCGCCGCGCACAAGGGCGCGTGGGCGGGTGAGGAGTCAGCGGGTCCGAGCGAGGGTGGGATAGAGATGGCGCGTCTGCTAGCTGACATGGACCATGCGCAGCTGTACGAGGACATTCAAGATGGCGGCTCTGCGGCTTTACATTCATTCGAGATTTCTGCGGAGTCGCGTTCATCATTGGCCGCCTTCGACGACCAATTTCCAGCAGTAATTTTCCAATAATTACATGGACCATGCGCAGCTGTACGAGGACATTCAAGATGGCGGCTCTGCGGCTTTACATTCATTCGAGATTTCTGCAGAGTCGCGTTCATCATTGGCCGCCTTCGACGACCGATTTCCAGCAGTGATTTTCCAATAATTTACATAATGGTGGTGTTTGAATGTGCGTCAATTGTTAACGTTCAGTAGAGCACCCATATATATATATATATATATATTTATTTATTTATCCGGGATATTTATATAAATTATCGAAAAATTATAACTGAGTGGTGATGCCAGGATTCAAACCAATAGTATTAGTTTCATGTTTGTTTGTTTTGTTTTCTGACCAGCTTAGTTTCAACGCATGCTATCATATGAAAATACCTTTCTACAAGGACTTATTAACCGATAGGCACAATAGGCACCCAAGGCCTACGAGAAGGAAGGGCCTATGAAAATGGAAGCATCGCTATCACTTCTTGATGGTTGCATTTCGATTTGGTCTACTTGCCAATGAAAGTCTTTGCCGCTCGTTGACTTTTTCCTTCATAGGCCCTGCATGTGAGGTACGTGGTGGATAGGTTACTTGGTACTTCAATTATGACGAAGCTATCCTGGATAACGTCAGTTGTATAGAAAACAGGGTCGCATTAAAGTCCTTGTAGTGCCATAGACTTTTCAGTTTTGTAACCTTAATGTGTGATGGAAAAAAACTCCTGTCTGATCAACCATGGAATGTCAGTTCTTTCATTTGGAGTGCGTGGAATAAGATTATGCCAAAATCTATCTATCTAATCTATAATACTTCTTTTTAACTTAAAAAAAAACATTCAAGCAGACATTAGAGTTTGTACTATGCGATTAAAATACGCGGTTAAACCTACATTGTTCCTTTACAGCTGCAGTGAATGATGCAGACGTGAATAGATTAAAAATAATTCCTTTTCGTGCTGCGCATTTGTGGCTACAGTTCATTTAAGCGCACATTCAAACTATACCCTATTTCTATCTTCGTCATATCGCATAAGTTTTACTGCGAATTTTCCACCCGATGGGTTCTTTCATAATCTATATTCATTACTGATTCAGTCGCTCCTGCTGTAAGAAGTGTGTGATGTAGATTGTGATCGTGTATCAGCCTCGTGCGGCTGCATTGGTGCGCTGTTCATGGAACTGGACGTTCCCTTTCATGGAACTAGTTTCATTTATTTCACTCCGAGCCACTGATATTGTAGGCGCTTTTTTTACATTTGGTAGATGCCGTATGCTTCCAAATAAGCATTCACGTGTGTACTATGATGTTGTTGCGTTACTTTCTGTAAACTAAAATGCTTCAAGGCAGCATACCCACCGTTTCCCGTAGGCCGGCACTCACCATGGTATCTCATACGTGCTTCCGGCAAGGTTGGCAAATTCTTATTGCTCCCATCTGCTCGTATAAAAAGCAGCCCATTCACTCTATTTACCGGGACGGAAAATGCTAGAATAAAATTCGCATTTATGAATAAAACGATAAATGCATCGTTTCACCCTACACAGCCGGAAATTCACTTGCTTCAATCGCTTTCAGCAATAGGCATCCGTCTTTGATAATTAGAATGTCCGGAGGGATTATTGCTAATTAATTGGTTACGAATATCCTCGAAAATTACATTCATTGTTATAATCATCTCTCTTATTTAAAAAAAAGTCGAGCAGTCCACGACACATTACTGTTCTTAGCAGATCAGATTTCTACTGCTGGTTAATGCTGTTGCTATAGTTAATGGAAATGAAGAGTATCTCTCACCGGGCGATTACCTCGGCTGTCTGGTTAATATTCTAATTTCCAGGCAATTAGCACGTGCACGTGACGCTGTGACAATTAATTATTCCAGCAGCATTTGGAGACCCAATCCCGTCATTATGATCATGCCAATTAAAGTTCTCAATTAATATGAACCTTTCAAAATTATAAATCAGGAGGAGAGAACAGGACGAGAAAGAATAGCCATACAGATCCCGAGACGACATGAAAATGGATGTCACAATCCCAGAACCAACATCACTAGGTATTCCTCAGGGAAAGAGAAATGGAGGACATCTCAAAAATGTGCACAGACAGGAGATTGAAGGAGAGCAAAGATCAATCAGCTACTTCTGCAGCAAGATTTCAAAAGACTGTACAAAGCTTG